GACGCCTTAATCCGCTTGACCATCACGACCGGACATAAGGAAGTGATAGCCGAGGCTATATGAACCACTTCCCCGCCGGCACTCGGATGGTAATCTTGGGCATAGCATTTTATCAAATCACCTCATTCTTTGGGGCACACGTGAGGAACACAAATGCAAACAAGCCTGAATGGTCCCCAGGACTATATACAACTGAAAACTCACACCCCAGAAGTGACTCGAAACCATACTCCCACAACTGGTATGTACAGGGACGCCTTAATCCGCTTGACCATCACGACCGGACATAAGGAAGTGATAGCCGAGGCTATATGAACCACTTCCCCGCCGGCACTCGGATGGTAATCTTGGGCATAGCATTTTATCAAATCACCTCATTCTTTGGGGCACACGTGAGGAACACAAATGCAAACAAGCCTGAATGGTCCCCAGGACTATATACAACTGAAAACTCACACCCCAGAAGTGACTCGAACCCATACTCCCACAACTGGTATGTACAGGGACGCCTTAATCCGCTTGACCATCACGACCGGACATAAGGAAGTGATAGCCGAGGCTATATGAACCACTTCCCCGCCGGCACTCGGATGGTAATCTTGGGCATAGCATTTTATCAAATCACCTCATTCTTTGGGGCACACGTGAGGAACACAAATGCAAACAAGCCTGAATGGTCCCCAGGACTATATACAACTGAAAACTCACACCCCAGAAGTGACTCGAACCCATACTCCCACAACTGGTATGTACAGGGACGCCTTAATCCGCTTGACCATCACGACCGGACATAAGGAAGTGATAGCCGAGGCTATATGAACCACTTCCCCGCCTGGCACTCGGATGGTAATCTTGGGCATAGCATTTTATCAAATCACCTCATTCTTTGGGGCACACGTGAGGAACACAAATGCAAACAAGCCTGAATGGTCCCCAGGACTATATACAACTGAAAACTCACACCCCAGAAGTGACTCGAACCCATACTCCCACAACTGGTATGTACAGGGACGCCTTAATCCGCTTGACCATCACGACCGGACATAAGTTGACCTGACATAAGCATTTTGATAAAATGCTATGCCCAAGATTACTATCCGAGTGCCGGCGGGGAAGTGGTTCATATAGCCTCGGCTATCACTTCCTTATGTCCGGTCGTGATGGTCAAGCGGATTAAGGCGTCCCTGTACATACCAGTTGTGGGAGTATGGGTTCGAGTCACTTCTGGGGTGTGAGTTTTCAGTTGTATATAGTCCTGGGGACCATTCAGGCTTGTTTGCATTTGTGTTCCTCACGTGTGCCCCAAAGAATGAGGTGATTTGATAAAATGCTATGCCCAAGATTACCATCCGAGTGCCGGCGGGGAAGTGGTTCATATAGCCTCGGCTATCACTTCCTTATGTCCGGTCGTGATGGTCAAGCGGATTAAGGCGTCCCTGTACATACCAGTTGTGGGAGTATGGGTTCGAGTCACTTCTGGGGTGTGAGTTTTCAGTTGTATATAGTCCTGGGGACCATTCAGGCTTGTTTGCATTTGTGTTCCTCACGTGTGCCCCAAAGAATGAGGTGATTTGATAAAATGCTATGCCCAAGATTACCATCCGAGTGCCGGCGGGGAAGTGGTTCATATAGCCTCGGCTATCACTTCCTTATGTCCGGTCGTGATGGTCAAGCGGATTAAGGCGTCCCTGTACATACCAGTTGTGGGAGTATGGGTTCGAGTCACTTCTGGGGTGTGAGTTTTCAGTTGTATATAGTCCTGGGGACCATTCAGGCTTGTTTGCATATATATATTTATATATATATATATATATATATATATATATATATATATATATATATATATATATATATATATATATATATATATATATATGGCACAACTCTCCTAAACACGAGAGTGAAGTATAGAACTTTAGAACACTTTCCCACCAGGAGACTCGAACCCTAGCCAGCACAGAAGCCTTCCAGCAACTGGCATAACAGGTACGCCTTAACCCGCTCCACCACCCGCTCAGACCCTTAAAAGAGATGGTAATTTCGGAGTATTTAAATACACCAAAGATCACCACCTCCCAAGAGCACTAGAGCAAGTGAGGGGTCATTTAGACGTTAATTTCATCAAGTCCCTGTTAATATGGGAAGACACAGTGTCTATGCTTAAGGCACAACTCTCCTAAACACGAGAGTGAAGTATAGAACTTTAGAACACTTTCCCACCAGGAGACTCGAACCCTAGCCAGCACAGAAGCCTTCCAGCAACTGGCATAACAGGTACGCCTTAACCCGCTCCACCACCCGCTCAGACCCTTAAAAGAGATGGTAATTTCGGAGTATTTAAATACACCAAAGATCACCACCTCCCAAGAGCACTAGAGCAAGTGAGGGGTCATTTAGACGTTAATTTCATCAAGTCCCTGTTAATATGGGAAGACACAGTGTCTATGCTTAAGGCACAACTCTCCTAAACACGAGAGTGAAGTATAGAACTTTAGAACACTTTCCCACCAGGAGACTCGAACCCTAGCCAGCACAGAAGCCTTCCAGCAACTGGCATAACAGGTACGCCTTAACCCGCTCCACCACCCGCTCAGACCCTTAAAAGAGATGGTAATTTCGGAGTATTTAAATACACCAAAGATCACCACCTCCCAAGAGCACTAGAGCAAGTGAGGGGTCATTTAGACGTTAATTTCATCAAGTCCCTGTTAATATGGGAAGACACAGTGTCTATGCTTAAGGCACAACTCTCCTAAACACGAGAGTGAAGTATAGAACTTTAGAACACTTTCCCACCAGGAGACTCGAACCCTAGCCAGCACAGAAGCCTTCCAGCAACTGGCATAACAGGTACGCCTTAACCCGCTCCACCACCCGCTCAGACCCTTAAAAGAGATGGTAATTTCGGAGTATTTAAATACACCAAAGATCACCACCTCCCAAGAGCACTAGAGCAAGTGAGGGGTCATTTAGACGTTAATTTCATCAAGTCCCTGTTAATATGGGAAGACACAGTGTCTATGCTTAAGGCACAACTCTCCTAAACACGAGAGTGAAGTATAGAACTTTAGAACACTTTCCCACCAGGAGACTCGAACCCTAGCCAGCACAGAAGCCTTCCAGCAACTGGCATAACAGGTACGCCTTAACCCGCTCAGACCCTTAAAAGAGATGGTAATTTCGGAGTATTTAAATACACCAAAGATCACCACCTCCCAAGAGCACTAGAGCAGGTGAGGGGTCATTTAGACGTTAATTTCATCAAGTCCCTGTTAATATGGGAAGACACAGTGTCTATGCTCAAGGCACAACTCTCCTAAACACGAGAGTGAAGTATAGAACTTTAGAACACTTTCCCACCAGGAGACTCGAACCCTAGCCAGCACAGAAGCCTTCCAGCAACTGGCATAACAGGTACGCCTTAACCCGCTCCACCACCCGCTCAGACCCTTAAAAGAGATGGTAATTTCGGAGTATTTAAATACACCAAAGATCACCACCTCCCAAGAGCACTAGAGCAAGTGAGGGGTCATTTAGACGTTAATTTCATCAAGTCCCTGTTAATATGGGAAGACACAGTGTCTATGCTTAAGGCACAACTCTCCTAAACACGAGAGTGAAGTATAGAACTTTAGAACACTTTCCCACCAGGAGACTCGAACCCTAGCCAGCACAGAAGCCTTCCAGCAACTGGCATAACAGGTACGCCTTAACCCGCTCCACCACCCGCTCAGACCCTTAAAAGAGATGGTAATTTCGGAGTATTTAAATACACCAAAGATCACCACCTCCCAAGAGCACTAGAGCAAGTGAGGGGTCATTTAGACGTTAATTTCATCAAGTCCCTGTTAATATGGGAAGACACAGTGTCTATGCTTAAGGCACAACTCTCCTAAACACGAGAGTGAAGTATAGAACTTTAGAACACTTTCCCACCAGGAGACTCGAACCCTAGCCAGCACAGAAGCCTTCCAGCAACTGGCATAACAGGTACGCCTTAAGGCGTACCTGTTATGGTCTGAGCCAAGTTTTCATGAATTAATATATTTTCTCTAATTTTTTTCTTATGAAATGATAAAGCAACCTATTTCATTATGGTCTGAGCCAAGTTTTCATGAATTAATATATTTTCTCTAATTTTTTTCTTATGAAATGATAAAGCAACCTATTTCATTATGTATGAGGTCAATTTTTTTTTATTGAAGTTAAAATTAACGTAGATATATGACCGAACCTAACCAACCCTACCTAACCTAACCTAACATATCTTTATAGGTTAGGTTAGGTTGGGTAGCGGAAAAAGTTAGGTTAGGTTAGGTTAGGTAGGTTAGGTAGTCGAAAAACAATTAATTCATGAAAACTTGGCTTATTAGGCAAATCGGGCCTTGCATAGTAGGCCGAGAAGTGCATTCTGACTACTAGGTACGACATATATATATATTTATATATACAGCCCTTGAGGTAGATTACCTACCTCAGTACATTTATAACTGAACATTTCCATTTACAAGCAAACCAATTTGACCTAAACGCATGCAATTAGAAAAGTGTGTGGACTTCATTATTTCGCTCTCCTTTATGAGACTAGCGATTTTTTGTTCATTAACCAAAGCAATTAATTATCGTCAGTGGACGAGCGGTGAGCTGCTCATGTCACTGTAATTGACGACGAACTCAAAATTCCTCGAGTCCTTTACATATTTTATGAGGATTTTACACTTTTTTACGTAATTAAGTAAAGATTTACGGAAGACCTAAACATTTAATAAAATAATTTACTAGAATATTGATATCCATTGAGGCATTATATATTAATGAATCAACTGCTGATTAATTCTATTTCAAACACATGTTATATACATTCAAAAGTTTACTGTTTTGTTTAACACAACGAAAAGGAATTTTAAAGTTAATATCTGCTCTCTCTAAGAGTAAATAACAACATGGGTCTTCTCCTCAACTCTCCTTAAAGTCATTAACTTCATTTACAAGTTTTCCAGACTTATTATGCTGGCAAATGTCACACTTTCAAGACTCTGGAGAGTGCACCACAGGTCCCTAGTCCACCTGTGATGGGTGCACCTCAGGTCCCTAGTCCACCTGTGATGGGTGCACCTCAGGTCCCTAGTCCACCTGTGATGGGTGCACCTCAGGTCCCTAGTCCACCTGTGATGGGTGCACCACAGGTCCCTAGTCCACCTGTGCTGGGTGCACCTCAGGTCCCTAGACCACCTGTGCTGGGTGCACCTCAGGTCCCTAGTCCACCTGTGATGGGTGCACCACAGGTCCCTAGTCCACCTGTGATGGGTGCACCACAGGTCCCTAGTCCACCTGTGATGGGTGCACCTCAGGTCCCTTGTCCATCTGTGATGGGTGCACCTCAGGTCCCTAGTCCACCTGTGATGGGTGCACCTCAGGTCCCTAGTCCACCTGTGATGGGTGCACCTCAGGTCCCTAGTCCACCTGTGATGGGTGCACCTCAGGTCCCTAGACCACCTGTGCTGGGTGCACCTCAGGTCCCTAGACCACCTGTGCTGGGTGCACCTCAGGTCCCTAGTCCACCTGTGATGGGTGCACCTCAGGTCCCTAGTCCATCTGTGATGGGTGCACCTCAGGTCCCTAGTCCATCTGTGATGGGTGCACCTCAGGTCCCTAGTCCACCTGTGATGGGTGCACCTCAGGTCCCTAGTCCATCTGTGATGGGTGCACCACAGGTCCCTAGTCCATCTGTGATGGGTGCACCTCAGGTCCCTAGTCCATCTGTGATGGGTGCACCTAAGGTCCCTAGTCCATCTGTGATGAGTGCACCTCGGGTACCTAGTCCATCTGTGATGGGTGCACCTCAGGTCCCTAGTCCACCGGTGATGGGTGCACCTCGGGTCCCTAGTCCACCTGTGATGGGTGCACCAGAGGTCCCTAGTCCACCTGTGCTGGGTGCACCTCAGGTCCCTATTACACCTGTGCTGGGTGCACCTCAGGTCCCTAGTCCACCTGTGCTGGGTGCACCTCAGGTCCCTAGTCCACCTGTGTTGGGTGCACCTCAAGTCCCTAGTCCACCTGTGATGGGTGCACATCAGGTCCCTAGTCCACCGGTGATGGATGCACCTCAGGTCCCTAGTCCACCGGTGATGGGTGCACCACAGGTCCCTAGTCCACCTGTGATGGGTGCACCACAGGTCCCTAGTCCACATGTGATGGGTGCACCACAGGACCCTAGTCCACATGTGATGGATGCACCTCAGGTCCCTAGTCCACCTATGATGGGTGCACCTCAGGTCCCTAGTCCACCTGTGTTGGGTGCACCTCAGGTCCCTAGTCCACATGTGATGGGTGCCCCACAGGCCCCTAGTCCACCTGTGATGGATGCACCTCAGGTCCCTAGTCCACCTGTGATGGGTGCACCTCAGGTCCCTAGTCCACCTGTGATGGGTGCACCACAGGCCCCTAGTCCACCTGTGATGGGTGCACCTCAGGTCCCTAGTCCACCTATGATGGGTGCACCTCAGGTCCCTAGTCCACCTGTGTTAGGTGCACCTCAGGTCCCTAGTCCACCTGTGTTGGGTGCACCTCAGGTCCCTAGTCCACCTGTGATGGGTGCACCTCAGGTCCCTAATCCACCTGTGTTAGGTGCACCTCAGGTCCCTAGTCCACCTGTGTTGGGTGCACCTCAGGTCCCTAGACCACCTGTGCTGGGTGCACCTCAGGTCCCTAGACCACCTGTGCTGGGTGCACCTCAGGTCCCTAGACCACCTGTGCTGGGTGCACCTCAGGTCCCTAGTCCACCTGTGATGGGTGCACCTCAGGTCCCTAGTCCATCTGTGATGGGTGCACCTCAGGTCCCTAGTCCATCTGTGATGGGTGCACCTCAGGTCCCTAGTCCATCTGTGATGGGTGCACCTCAGGTCCCTAGTCCATCTGTGATGGGTGCACCTCAGGTCCCTAGTCTATCTGTGATGGGTGCACCTCGGGTACCTAGTCCATCTGTGATGGGTGCACCTCAGGTCCCTAGTCCACCGGTGATGGGTGCACCTCGGGTCCCTAGTCCACCTGTGATGGGTGCACCACAGGTCCCTAGTCCACCTGTGATGGGTGCACCTCAGGTCCCTAGTCCACCTGTGTTGGGTGCACCTCAGGTCCCTAGTCCACCTGTGCTGGGTGCACCACAGGTCCCTAGTCCACCTGTGTTGGGTGCACCTCAAGTCCCTATTCCACCTGTGATCGGTGCACCTCAGGTCTCTAATCCACCGGTGATGGGTGCACCTCAGGTCCCTAGTCCACCTGTGTTGGGTGCACCTCAGGTCCCTAGTCCACCGGTGATGGGTACACCACAGGTCCCTAGTCCACCTGTGATGGGTGCACCTCTGGTCCCTAGTCCACATGTGATAAGTGCACATCAGGTCCCTAGTCCACCGGTGATGGGTGCACCACAGGTCCCTAGTCCACCGGTGATGGGTGCACCACAGATCCCTAGTCCACCTGTGATGGGTGCACTACAGGTCCCTAGTCCACATGTGATGGATGCACCACAGGACCCTAGTCCACATGTGATGGATGCACCTCAGGTCCCTAGTCCACCTATGATGGGTGCACCTCAGGTCCCTAGTCCACCTGTGTTGGGTGCACCTCAGGTCCCTAGTCCACATGTGATGGGTGCCCCACAGGCCCCTAGTCCACCTGTGATGGATGCACCTCAGGTCCCTAGTCCACCTGTGATGGGTGCACCTCAGGTCCCTAGTCCACCTGTGTGGGAACCGACCTGTGAGATTTATATTTATTTAATTTATATGAATTTATATTTACGTTAATTTATATACTTCGATAGCAATTTGTATAATGATAAGTGGACTGTATTTCTGCAATAATCTCTTAATCTCACAAATCGATCCTCTACACATTAGGGGGGGGGGGTTTATTTATATATATGCAGCCAATCAAACTACAGTATTAACTACATACATTGAAAAGGTTCCTTATCTTATAGTACAGCAGGTTAGTCCACCAGGTATAACTAGGGTGTAGACACCAAATTATCCTCTTTGAGGTAGCTTCCATCACCCAGTAACTGGTGCACAAAATCTTGCTTCCTCGTCTTGACCTGTCAAAAGGGCGCTAACTGTGAAGCCAGATATCTATATATGACAAGCTATATCAGAGAAAATACTGTACATGGAACATTGAAGACCTGGCTTAATTACCTTTAGTTTGAGGCTTCCACGTGCTCTAACCGGGTCACCCTATATAATGACATTAATGGCCATAAATGAAAGATACTGGGTTTCGGAAAGAACACTTAACTTGAATTTGTTGACAGCGTGTGATAATGGTACACCTTTGGTTTCCATAACACTACGTCCAAGTAAAATTAACAGGAGCCGAATTTGCTCCCGAGAGCCTCTGGTCTAGTCTCAACAATGTCTAACACTCCATACTACTGACGCCTGGCCGACATTGTCCAGATATGATAGGAGCCGAATTTGCTCCACGCGTCTCGGATGTGACACAACAATGGCTCCCTCCTTCCTCCCTGACGCCTGGCTTACATTGTCCAGATTTCAGAAAGTGATAGAAGGGTCACATTTACTCTACTCTAATATTGATAATTAAGTTAATTTATATAAGATGTTTTTATGATGGTAAAGTCCAAAGACTAATGTATTTAAGAATAATTCCCAGCAAAATAGCTGGTGAATTATAATAGTATGTGGTGATGATATCCCGTTTTCTATAGACGGTAATTCCACTACAAGTTACGTTTTCTATGGTTAACTTGTTTATACAACACAGCTATTATCTGTCTGTATATTAAATTGTGTCGGATTTTCCGACAACCTGTGATGGGTGCACCACAGGCCCCTAGTCCACCTGTGATGGTTGCACCTCAGGTCCCTAGTCCACCTATGATGGGTGCACCTCAGGTCCCTAGTCCACCTGTGATGGGTGCACCTCAGGTCCCTAATCCACCTGTGATGGGTGCACCTCAGGTCCCTAATCCACCTGTGTTAGGTGCACCTCAGGTCCCTAGACCACGTGTGTTAGGTGCACCTCAGGTCCCTAGTCCACCTGTGTTGGGTGCACCACATACCCCTGTATCTCTCCTCGGCTGAGTGTATCAGTTCTGATGAGAAATTTAAAACACCTTCGTATCCTTTTTCCTTCTATTCGTTCTAAAAGTTTAAGAGTTTGTTAGGTCTCATGTTGGACTTAAAGCTTTTCAACCTCTAGAAGGATATTAAGCTACCACAAGAGCCTGGAGACCCACAAGCAAGAATACACATTAGTCTTGAAAGTAATTCTGGATTCAAGGAAACCTTGAGCGTATAAATACATCGAGTAGCAGGGTATTCACATCTTCAGTTGTGACAGTGTCAGACCACGAAGGATGAATTGAAACTGAAAGACTCCGCTCCAATATAGAAGCATCAAGAAATATGGACCAATAGGCTTTCTACAATCACTTCTATTCAATACCCATTGTTTCATGTTCTGGCTTGTGTTGATGAAATTAATACCTTATTAAATACCACCTCACCCCATCCACCTCACTCAAATGTAGATATAAACAAAATCGGAGATGTGTAAGGTCTATTCAGTTGTGTATGTGTTAACTAAAGTCTTTGAAAATGTAATAAGTTTTACGAAACGCGCTCAAGTGTCGCGTCAGACTAGAAATAAAAATGAAATTTGGAGAATTGATTTTTGAATTACCTCCAACAGTGAAAAGAAATGTACGAAAGATTGAGAAAATTCGTGTTAGAATTATTAATCTTACTTTTTCGGCCATATTTAATAATATATGTCTACAGGAAAGACTGCTACCAAAATATACTAATATTAAAGCGCCCTACCCAGCAGCAAGGAATCAAGCCTTCACGATAAAATATCGCCAGGATCTGATTCGTGATCAGATATACAAGGCAGAGAATGAAATCAAAGACAACAAAACGCAACTACTTCATGCTACAAACGAGTGGAGAAATAGCAACATCGACTAAAGTATCCGTACCCGCATTGAACAACACCTCGACATCCTCACAGACCGACATCACCTCAGCACTGAAACAAGGATTATCAAGAAACTAACAACATTATATGGAGGACCTATGGCAATTCCACGACCAAGAGATGGCTTCCTGAACCTTGCAGGAATTAACCTCACTGAGGACTAAGTCACTCTCCTAAATCTGGGCATAAACTGTCACGTTATGTCCAGACCGAGTGAGATGGCCCGGAAAGTAGAATTGGAAATTCTGTTGGACGACATATTCGACCTCGAGACACAAAAGAAGGTCACTACCAAACATACCTTACAAGCAGAACTTATTGCAGAAGGAGGAAAGAATCGAGGCAATTACAATAGCACCATACTGTCCCCCGAGCTCAAAGAGGCAGCCAAAAGCCTTCGTGAGAACAAGGAGATAGTTGTCAGGAGAGGTGACAAGTCGCCAATATATGTTATTCTTAAAAAAGACGAATATCTGGCGAAAATGAACCTCATACTCTCTGACCAAACTAAGTTCCAAAGGGTAACGAAGGACACTACAGCTGAATTGAAAGCAAAGGTCAACAAACTGATCGAAACTGTGAACGCCAAGAAATCCGGACTCCACCTGCCAAAGATCATTGGGGAATATAAACCTGGATTTGCGTATGGAAATGTCAAGACACACAAGCCTGGAAACCCACTTCGGCCAATCATTAGCCAGATACCCACACCCACGTACAGACTAGCGAAGCGACTCAACGGCCTGCTGACTCCTTATGTCCCTTGCGCCTTCAGCCTGAAGTCGCCAAATGAATTTGTTGACTTACTGCGGGGCACACGGGCCACAGGAATAAGAGCCTCGTTGGACATAGAATCGCTGTTCACTAACGTACCAGTGGATGAGACAATCGGGATGATAGCCGACAGAGTGTATTGTGATCCAGCCTGTACTCCTCTTGACATACCAGAAAATATCCTAAGGAAACTACTCCAAGCTTGTACTAAAGAGGCACCCTTCTTGAGCCCGGATGGGCACATGTATAAGCAATTAGATGGGGTCGCCATGGGTTCTCCCCTAGGTGTCCTGTTTGCAAACTTCTACATGGGTACCATCGAGCAAAAAGTCTTAGTCGACATGAACATGAAACCGGCCATATACTGCAGGTATGTTGACGACATTTTTACACAGGTACCTGATGTCAGACATCTGCAGGAGTTGAAGGAGGCATTTGAGCAGAGTTCCGTGCTGCGTTTCACTTACGAGATGGAAAAGGATGGGAAGCTGCCCTTTCTAGATGTAACAGTCATGGAAAAGAGCGGAGGTTTCCACACTGCAGTCTACACTAAGGAAACGAACATAGGAATGTGCCTAAATGCCAACAGCGACTGCCCAGACAGGTACAAGAGGAGTGTTGTTAACGCATATGTCGACCGTGCTCTCAGCCACAGCTCAGAATGGAAGCAAGTCGACGAAGAACTCTGTAGGGTAAGGCAGGTCCTAGTCAACAACGGCTTCTCCAATGGTTTCGTCGAAGACATCATAAGAAGGAAAGTGAAACGCCATGCAACCTCTGAAGAGACAACCAACACAACACCTATACCCCCTATTAGACTGTTTTACAGGAACATCTTTTCCACAGCTCATAAAACGGAGGAAAGGGTCCTGAAAGATATAGTTAATAGAAACGTTATCCTTACAGACAAAAATCAGAGGATACAACTGACGATTTACTATAAAACCAGAAAAACGGCCAGCCTACTCATGAGAAACTCTCCAGACACAAAACAGAACGCTTTAAAAGAGACTAACGTCGTCTATGCCTTCAAATGCCCTCTTGGGGACTGTAAGCTCCAAAAAACCCAGTATATAGGCAAGACAACAACATCTCTTTCTAGGCGTTTAACGATGCATAAGCAACAGCGCTCCATTAAGGAACATATAATCTCTTCCCACAACCAAACCATCGCCAGAGAAATCCTAGTAAACAACACAGAAATCATAGAAAGATACAGCGATAGCAGGCGGCTTGACGTTTGCGAGACATTACACATCAAGAAGTCAACACCAGCAATCAACAGCCAATTAATGCCCAACTATATTCTACCCACCTCAAGACTCCGCTCCAATATAGAAGCATCAAGAAATATGGACCAATAGGCTTTCTACAATCACTTCTATTCAATACCCATTGTTTCATGTTCTGGCTTGTGTTGATGAAATTAATACCGTATTAAATACCACCTCACCCCATCCACCTCACTCAAATGTAGATATAAACAAAATCGGAGATGTGTAAGTTCTATTCAGTTGTGTATGTGTTAACTAAAGTCTTTGAAAATGTAATAAGTTTTACGAAACGCGCTCAAGTGTCGCGTCAGACTAGAAATAAAAATGAATTTTGGAGAATTGATTTTTGAATTACCTCCAACAGTGAAAAGAAATGTACGAAAGATTGAGAAAATTCGTGTTAGAATTATTAATCTTACTTGTTCGGTCATATTTAATAATATATATATATATATATAATATATATATATATATATATATATATATATATATATATATATATATATATATATATATATATATATATATATATATATATATATATATATATATATATATATATATATATATATATATATATATAATGCACAACTTGCCTAAACACGCAAGAGAGATTATACAACCTTAGAACACTTTCCCACCAGGAGATTCGAACCCTAGCCAGCACAAAAGCCTTACAGCAACTGGCATCACTGGTACGCCTTTAAC